CCCCAAAACCCCAAAACCCCAAAACCCCAATGTGAGATGAAAATAATTCAAAATGAGAAATGATATTAATAAGAATTAAGAGAAATATAATATATTTTATCAAAATGCAATATTCACAGAAAGATGTGAGGCCATCTAACTACAATCAGATAGATGACTCTCAGCTGCAGTCTCACCAAAATCCTAGCTCCAAAGGCTATTACACCTAGGATACTCGAGGACTCAATCCAGTAATACAGTCCCTCTCAGACAAACTTGTAAGCATTCTAACTATATCGTGGTTTAGTCACATCTCACAAATGAGAATATTTTCATTTTAAAGTTCATTTTTTAACATAAATTGGCTTACTTACCTATTATGAATAGAGACCAGACATTGATGAGGATTCAAATGAGTATATTGCAGAGAGCTATTAAGACTAGAAAAACGATAATTCTTATTACTTGAACTTTGCTGACGACAACAGAAGCACCAACAATAATCTTCTGAATCATCAAAACACTGGTGGACATTCAGATCGAGAAAATAATACCACGGGCTAGAACACTCACCGAGGGGAAAATAGAAATAATGTAAACAATAAGGTGAGGAATTACTATCCTGACGATGGAGGGGAATTTACTCCAACAGGAGGTTAAATGGGTGCTGCCTAGTATGATGACGATCGCTTTCACATCAACGACACTGATGAAAACTTTCAGGATGAGCATGACCTTAATCACGACGATGACTAGCAAGAGTATGATGATCATTTGAATAACAATGAGAACCTGCACACTGATGAAATCGAAGAGATTTTTCAGCAATAGCAATGTAAGCATAACAATTTATCATAACAAATATAGAAACCAGCAAGTTCCCTACATCATATAACTAATCAAGCAGAAATCCAGATGCCGGGAACAGATACAATCAAGGTTAAAATCAGCTTAACTATGATCAGGCTGCAGCTAACGGTGCTGATGCCGAGTAGAAGGATAGATAGTAAAAGATAAAAGAGATGCTGAAGGAATTCAATAAAAAGAAGGAGCAAGTAATTCGGGAATAGATTAAATCTAGAGTGGGCTCATCCATGAATACTCAGCCTTAGTAATAATCGACCAAGAATTCAACCTCCAAATAAATTTTCCTTGTGGACTAGCAAACCAATAACTAGCCAATCAGCACTCATAGATCACATCTTCACCATCATCACTAGTAGTCACAAAATTTTTAGCAGACTATCACTTTCACAGTCGAGGATGATACCTCTAAGACTAAATATGAGGTAGGGAAGTATAAAAGTGTTTGCAATACCTGCAAAAGTATGAAACAAAATATTGAAATGAAGAAGCCTAGGCTTCAAGAGCCAAGAAGAGGTGCTCTACCTTCTAAAGGTGAGCCTGCTTTCATAGATGTCAAAAAGATCAAGCAGAAGTATAACATTCCAGATATCAATCCAAATGCTCTATTCCCTAGTGGTAATAGAAATGGTGGCAGTCAAGGCATGAATGAGAGTAGTAGGTATGGGTAGAACAACAACACAAATAGTAGTAACCTAAATAACTCATAGCAGAATAACCATCTTTCAAACTCGAAATATAATCGCTATCCATTTATGCCAGCCAGAACTAAGGACCTAAAAGAGTACTCTTATGATGATTTGATCAAGTTGGTAGAGTAGCTTGAAAGAGAAAACGCTGAATTAAGATAACTTTTGTTTGAAGCCAATAGTAAACTGAGCAAAATGGAAGATAGAGATGATCTAATTTTACAATATCAAAATGAAGTGCAACTAGCTAAACAAAGGCTAAATACAAACACTTAGGCTTTGAAAGATGTGTAGAATATATTCAAATTGATGCTGGGACTTATTAATGATCTGTTTAAAACAAGCAAGAGTCTAAATCTGGATTAGGCTGGCAAGAAAAAGTTAGCTGAGCTAGCCAATAGAATGAAGCAGATAATAGGTGGACCTGAATTCTCCGAAAAATTCGATTCTTTGATTTAGGATAATAACCTACAAGGCATAATGTAGGAATGCCTATAGACTAAAGTTAAAAATACTCATTAGAAAGAGATATTGAGCCTAGAAAAGGGATTTCACGATAATTTAGATAAAATGCGAGAATAAATTAACGATGAACTCATGCGTAAATTCAAAAACTCAATTGAACGATAAAATGAAGATATTTCTGATAAATAAGAATAAATAGATGAGTTGAGAGAGACCAAAGCATAGTTAAAGGATGAACTCTTAAGAAGAGATAGTAGGATTGATGAGCTGTAAAATCACATTTCTTACTTGGAGGAAGAACGTAATTAGTTAGAGGACATAGTCAAAGAAGCAGATTAAGCCCTATTATTGAAAGAGCAATATGGTCTGCTATAATTAGAGTATTAGGAATAACAAGAGAAGCTAAGCGATAAGATTGATAACTTAGAGTAAATGCTTAGAGAGAAAGATCACTAGAATCAGTAGATTTAGAAAGATTATGAGGATGAGTTGGCTCGATTGAAAGGAGTTTAAGATGGCTTATTTGGAAAGAATAAAGATCTAGAAGCCATAGTTGACAACTAAAAAGAGCAACTTAAGAAGTTAGATGAACTCAAGCATCTCAGATAGAAAATGGACGAAGTAGATAAAATGAGGATTTCATTTACAGAGAAGGAGAAGCTCTATGAACAAAAAGAGCGCAACCGTAAATTACTACAAGAACAGCTAGATGACTTGGAGGAGCGCTATAGACTCATTGAAAAAGCCAAGAAGAAGTTAGAAATCGACTTGGGCACCTAGAAACAGACTAAGGAGAAATTGATAGATCAGAACCACTAGTAAGAAGAAGAAATCAAGCGAGCAAAGGACGAGATTAATTAGCTGATTTCAGACAAGGTGGAAACAGAGAATGAACTGTCAAACAAAAATGCTATTTTACAGAAGCTAGAAGGAGCCCTCAAAGATAAGAAAGAGTTTCAGAAGCTGGAAGACTTGGTCTAGCAGTTGCAGTCTACACTCATGTTTAAATCGCATCATAACTTCAGCGACAACGAGAGGATGCTGATTAGGGAGCTGTTTGGAGTGCAGCCAGGGGAAAATGCAGATATGGGAGAGAAAATTACTGAAATGAAAGATGAAAATAGCAAGCTGTACTTCGAGTTGAGGAATGGGTATGATCATGAGGCTGATGCTCTCAAAAAGCAAAAGGATTACCTAAAGCAGCTCCAAGATTTCGCTAAAGCCATACTCAGTATCGAGGATAAAGTCATTGAGAAAAATCTTAACTTCACTCTCTAGAAAAGGAACAAGGCTCCGTTATATGCTAATGTGGAATAATTAGTAGATGAGATTCAACAGAGAATAGATGATATTGATTAGAAGTAGAAAGGCTTGGACAGAATGAGTCTGGCCAAGGGCATGGATAAGTATGATAACCCAGACAAGGTAGTCTAGCAACTTCACGACATAAGCCATGTTTCTTCAAGCAAGAGTCTCAAATACAATAATACTTAGTCACCTGATGTGGTTATGAGAAAAGGCAGCAAGAAAAACTATGAAAGTAGTTTGGAGACTGGCATAGCTGTGAATATGTATGCAACCATGCAGACTCCCAGATCTAACTTGTAAGAGTAGCAAATCAATCAAAACCAGCCACTCAGTCACAGAGATAAAGTCAATCCAATGGGCAGAATATCTCATTTGAAGAACACCAGCAACAATAGCGATCTTGGCCACAACTTCCTAAAAGATGCTGTTGATGATCCACAGTTTATTGAAGAGTTAATGATGGGAATGGGCGACAGCAGAGAAGTGCCAAACATCTAGGTAGACAGAGCCACTCATGAAAGTGACTTCAATAACCCTAACTTGTTGAAGTAAAGACAGTCAAAGCTCAAGGATCAGATTGACAATGTGCTAGGCAGTTCTAAGCCAGCCCAGAGAACTACTAGTTTCTCTAAGATTCGCCAGTCTAGAAAGTTTGAAAGGCAAATCACCCAAGACGGCAATAAAGATCTAGCCTCAAGAAATGCACTTGGTGCTAAATACGGGTACAATGCCTAGCAAAACAAATCAATAAATGAAAGTGGGATCTATTTCTTTAAGGACTAGGAGGACATTGGTGATTCATTTGAAGTCAGAGTAGTAGGAGAGGGAGAACTCAAGAGTGATCTGTTGCAGTTCATTCATTGCCAGGCCATGTTCCTTGAAGAAAACAGAGAAACAATCAAAATCATGCAAGAATGAGTAGAGCATTACTGATTAAAGCTATGGAGTCATTAAGAATAATATAGGTCTATATATAAATCAGGTGGAATACTTCAAGTCACATAATAACTTTTTGATAGATAAATAGATAATTTTAAGCTTAATTTAATCTTAATAATACCAATATTTGACGTTTTATCTTTCCATTAATAATCTAATGGTTCTAAATTCCTTAATTTCCAAGTTCATTCTAATATGTTTTGCATTGCTTGTGACCTTCTCTGTTTAAGACTTCACTGATGATTAGAAATAGATCCTAAATGAAATCAAGGAAGATGAGGGATTCGACTAGGCTCCCTATATGGGTGGCTTCAATTCCAATAAAGCCAAGCTGCTCGTAGTCAAATTCAATCCAGACCCTTCACTTTATGGAATATAGCCATCCTCTGACTAAAAATCAAAAACCATAAAATGAAGCAAATCTAAAAATTCAAATGCAATTAAGAGAACATTCAAGGAGATGGTTAAGGATTTGCAAGAATTACTGTTAACAGCTGGAGTGCATACTAACATTTTCAAATCTAAGGATTATGAGATCACTATTGCTGTTAATGATGAGCAGACTGCCATCTAAGTTAGAGATTTTTATCTAGATCAGCCTGAAGTTGAAAGTGTCAGATTCAATAATAAGACCAGGTATAGAGATCCTGAGAAACTAAAGCAAATAAGAGCAATTAGGAGTCAAAGGAAAAATAAATAGAAGTAAGAACTATGATTTCAGCTTAAAATTGGAAATTGTAAACTATAATATAATGATAGTTAATGAGTTAATGCAAATAATAAATTTCAAATTTTTAAATTAAGAGAGTGTTTATTTATATCTTATGTCAGAGTGCGATAAACTAATAAGTAGGTTCGCAGGAGAACACTGTCCATTTTGGAGTGTTTGAAATCCCTAAAACATGTGAGAGTCGCGTTATCTTATTTTATTAGTCACGCTCTGTAATGAAGACATATTAACAGAGAACAGAAGTTTAAAAGATAGCGTCTGATATCTGTACCTTTTTCTAGAAGATTGGTTAGGCAATCATAATAAAAAAGAAAACTGAATCAGAGGACCTAAAAGGTTTGATAAAAGATTCTGGAGTTAAAATATCAAGAAATAGCTCTATGGTGTAGTGGTTAGCACAGAGGACTTTAAATCCTTTAGCCTGAGTTCGAGTCTCAGTAGAGCTAGCTTTTTTTACCTAATCTAATTTTAAATTCTATTATGCTTCTCTATTTTATTTAATATTTTCCCTCCACTAATAAATTCCGATTACTGTCTCATGGGGTTTTGGGGTTTTGGGGAGATCGGAAGAGCACACGTCTGAACT